CTATATCATCAACTCTGGCATTAACAATAGACAGTATCTAGAGGCTACATTTTCGAGACATCAAGTGCTTCGTCGGCAGCATTTGGAGGCCTTTCTTTGACTCCGTTTTACGACTGTGGAACATTCGATATGGGTGCAGCTCGCAAGGCTACCAGATGAGGACTGCCGCAGGTTGCATTCTTATGCTAATCGCCTGGGCCAACAATGGAATAAGACTAAGAGATCATAAACCGGGACAAAGGCTGGAACTGCAAGCATTTGGTAGCCGAATGGTAGTCGCTCCACATTTTGTTACGCATCACCAGCCCAAGCCGTAGGGTAAGGCAAATGTCTTGTAGCGATAGTTAGTCGAGTATTGTTTAGGCCAATTAACGATCACTGAAAAGTGCTAGTTACTAAAGTGATCCGAGGTACCATCATTAAACTAGCAAAAGAAAATAAAATATAATTTACAGAGCAAATGTAAATTTACTGTCTACAATCGCTTGTTTGTTTTCCCTTTTGTGCTGAAACATCAGCTACAACAGCCAACAAAGATACGAACCGAACTGAACATAATTGCAACAACTTAAGAAATCACAACAAATAGGCAACAAACAGCTCAAAACTTTTAACTGAAATTCTGATTCAAAAACTCACGCTGCATTCAAATTGATTACAAAACGGCGGACACTGAGGCAGACGAGTCCTGTCCGTCGTTGTCTTCTTCTGCTAAACATGACTCGGCAAAGTTGAGATGAGTTCAGTTTGTTTGGCAGCCGCTTGTTTTTATTGTTTAGCTCGTTATCAAGTCAAAATAATCAGGCGCAGCGCGCTAACAATTGTCATTGTTAAAGGCGAGCTATACAGGAGCCGAGATCGAGCACCAGCCACAGCCACAGCCCCAACTCGAGCACGAGGCGTCGAGAGCGACGTCCCAAAATGTGCCCCATCATTGCCACTGGCCATAAAAGTGAAGCTCCTCATCATCACCAGCAGCAAAAGAAGAAGCAGAAGCTCCAGCAGCCGCCCCGAACAATGCAACATGATTCGCGAATTATAAATACACGCGCTGAGCAGATCAGCAAAAAAGCAATCACATCAACTTATAATACTCTATCGTACAGATATTTAAATATCTAGCTGTTAAAATAAGTTAAAATTCTTCAAATTATTTAAAGATCTCCTGTCAATTAACTTTTAATATTGTTTGGAGATTTGGCAGCGCAAGGTGGATAAGTTGGCAGCACTTGCCGTGCGAGTGGACACTACTGCCTATAGCTTTCCTACAAAGGTGGCAACGCAAAAAATTTGGAAATGTTTAAGCAAGGTGGCAGCACTGAAACTTTATCGCTTGTCGCTGTCGATTGTAGCTGTAATATTAAGCAAAACATTAGACTGATAAATATTGACAGCCAAGCAATATAACAAAAGCATGAACTGGGTAAATAGCATATTAGAAATTAATAACTAATAACATATTATAAATTAAACATCTTGGATTTAATATATAACATGTAGCATTCAAACACCACCATATGAAAAGTGAATAAGGTTTGACAACACGCTAAACTGGTTGTCAAATTAAACAATATGGATAGGAATTTTAATAAATTGATTAGAATATTAAATAATAAAAACTAAATAATGTTTAGCATTATATTTAGCTGGCAGTTCATTTTAATAGTAAGGCGGGAAAATGGCTTTAGGATATGAAAATTACACAGTACTGGCATGAAAATAAATATATCTGATTATATAGAAAACTCAATTGGCATTTCATATTTCATCTCCCCAATCTCTTACTGAAGTTGTAAGCCAACTTCATCACAGAGTAAATGTACCCTTCAATGAGTTGAGCACCAAATGCATTTTCGTAAATTTCTAGAGCAATATAATCGCAGCCAGCAGCCTGAAAATTAAGCAGCAGTAGTCGTCTTACGGCCCTCAGCAGTAATTGTGGCAAGTGGCGCGCTCGTTTGTTGCAGTTCAGTTGCAGCCTCTTGTGACTGCTGCAGTTGCTACTGCGCGAGCTAACAAACAGCTTCGCACAGAAGCTAAAACGTGTCGTCCTTTTGATCCACTTGAGTGGCTGAGAGGCAACAGGCGCAGCAGCAGCAGTCGAAACCTCAACTCAAGCTCGAGTCTCGGTCTCATCCACAGACTCATCGTCATCGTGGACATGGTCTTCAGTACGTGGCAACGGCATCGTTTTTAATTAAACAATGTAAGCGAAAGCAACAAAATAAAAAAAGGAAAAAGACTGCAACTTGCCACCATTCGGCGTGAAGTGCCGTCCCCTGTTTGCAGCTTACCTTTTGCCCCCACCTCTGGGGCCCTAACCACCACTAGTCAAGTTCAACTTGGAGCCTTGTTTGTGAGTTATGAGTTGCGCAATCACGACTTCTTGTCTTGCTGCTTACTCGGAGTTCATGCAGGATGTTGATGAGGAGGGGAGGAGGAGCAGCAGGCGTCTTGTTACCCGTTCACAGTTTTCGCACTTCGGGCTGATTAAGTTTTAGAACAAATGAATTAAAAACGTGCGCTGCAGCTGCTTCTGGGCATGAGTTCATGTCTGGCTGAAGGTGTGAAATAATTTGGCCAGTGCGCACTTTACCTGCCCAAGCCTGCGGCCGCAGCTGTCGAGGATCAGCACTGAACTAATACTCCAGCAGGTTACTTTTTATGGCCATTGGAATTACCGAAATGGCCCTTAAAAACAGCAGCTGGCTGGAAAGTTCTCAGCCTGGCTTACCTGCAGCCACAAAACTCTTGGAAAGCTTCAGTTGTGTGTCATGGCAAAACGATCTCCGTTTAAAGATAAAATATTGTAATTCATTTAAATGAACAAATCAGAAATGTTTGTGAAAAATATACAAAACAAAAATAAAAAATAAAAAAGAAAAAATGTCCACTTGAGTGAGTCTCCAGACTCAAGACGCAGAGTCAGGTCCCTAAGAGCACAAAAGACAAAGCTAAGTCTCTGAAGGCAGATTGTTGTGATGTGATTACGTCAAAATTATTAAAACAGTCTTCGAGGCGAGCTCAAGTTGCCCGGCTACGTATATCGTAATATCGTACGTCATGTTTCACAATTCGTCTGCCGCATTTGATCGACACTGATCTGAGATAAGACAGCCAAATAACCAAATCAACCCAAGACCCAAAAACAAAATGAAAAACATAACCAAATAAAATAAAATCCAAAAGCCGAAACTTCAAATCATATTTGGAATCGCTACGACCAACTACACAGGTCCAGAGCCAAGACAAGTGCATTTGCATCACGAGCCGTGTGAAACAGCTTTCCCAACTGAGACAAACTTAAAAATCAAAATCAAGAATACTTTGCGCTTTATGCTCAATGAAATTTGTTGAAAATTATGAACAACGAACATATTTTCACCAGCGTCCGGACATAAATGTCCATTATGTGCATAGACAAACGGATCGCTGGAAGGCACAGCCAACAGGAAGGGGGGCTATGGCATTGTCTAGTAACAGTTTTATGCTTTGACAGGCGTTACACACACAAGTTGACAACAATGCCATTAGCCCCAACAAAGACACCACAGCGACAATTGACAAGCGGGAGGACTGGGCGGGGTTAAACTGAACGAAAGAAGAACGCACAGCCAAAGGCAAGGTTGCCGAAGATTAAATACCCTTGCGTTTAATACTAAATGCCGATATCAGCGAATACCATAATAATAACTAGTATTGAACACCAAAATAAATATATTTTTTTAATGATATTGTGTCAATTTATTTAAAATCAATAACTATAGGAGCTGCATTAAATATTTTCTAAAACATACACAAAAATATCTTATGCTGCATTTTAATCCATATCAAAATTTGCCAAATATTTAGGCTTCATAATTAAATATATAATATAAATCAATCGAAGAAAAAAAGCTTGTTTTTTGTTGTTTTACTCAAATAATATGCATTTGTTTGCCATAAGACTTTGAAAAAAGAGTCCTGAATTTACTAAGCGTTATAGAATGGCCCACACGGACAATAAAAACGAAAATAAGAAAGAGATTTTCCAGAAATTTTAATTTTTTGTCAGTCAATATGTATTTTCTTCAATTTTAAAATTATTAATTAATTGTAATTTGTGTTCCTTTACACAAAACTAAGTTCTTTACACATAACGCATTCCAAAAAGCGTCTGAGCCAGCTTTTAATTCGATAAACTATATTGTGTATTCTTAAGATATATGTGGCCTACAATGCGTTACACATTGCGTGACAAAATAACAATACCCTTTGGAAGAGCATTAATATATCTATAGAGAAATACTTGGTTATCAATGGGCTATATTGTATGGCAGTTCTTGGTGTGAACCTGCAGGCATCGCCATTCTCATTCACATTCACATTGTCATTTGGTGCTCTAATCGCTCGCTAAGCTGCTGAAAAAAGCAGCAGGCAACTCAGCTTTGATTATTAGATCGTAGCAGCAACTAGACAAAAGCACAAAGACTTGAAGACTCTTGCTTCCTTTTGTTGTTGTTGTTCTTGTTATCTGCAGTTTCCTAGGAAAGCCAAACACAAGGCCAAACAAAATACAAAATAAAAAGAACAAACTCAAACTCCACGTTTGCGCACGCATCCGGCCAGGGAGCTGAAAACTTACACGTCTGGAGTCGTGTAATATGCAAACTAGACGGGCGATAACTGTACAGATAAGCCGCACCGTACGTGTACAAATTGCAGACACTGTAGTGCAATTTATGTCGCTAGCACGATCCTAACAGGCCAAAACGGCTTACCTGGATACGGCCCGCAACAACTAAGTTTATGCAGCGCAGCAGCTGTTGCAAGGATTAGACAAAATCGTATCGCTATAGGTAGAGAAGTTCAACAGGCGCCAGGACTACCTGTAGCAAGGGCCTACCTGTATTCGGATATAAACACTAGCTACTCAGCAGTTCCAGCACATTCCGCATTCAATTGCCAAGCTAGCGACACTCAAGCAGTCTTAAGAAATTGCTCTTGAATTCTTTGAAACTATGCTACGCAATACAAAATTCTATAAGCACGCCTTGGAGGCACAGCGCATTCCACTGCCGGAGCCGCTGCCGCCCAATTATATAGACAATCTGCACGAAATATTCTTTGAGCAGATCTTCGAGCGCATCGATTACATAAGCGATCAGGTGAGGATGGCTCGTGCCTATCCACAGTTCCTGCCACAGGTTCTGCGCTTGTGGCAGAAGCGTTGGCACTATCGCATTGTTGGCCCAAATACCGCCTTTTTGGGCCTGCTGGACATCGAGGATTATGTGTTCTTCATGGAGCAAATGGCCAGTCGCTTTACCGAGCTGCATGTGCACGAGGATGGCGTTGGCTCCTTTGCCGAGTTCTATGATTATATAAGACATCTGTGCGATATCAACATAATCCGATTTCCCAGTGTGGAATGCTGTGTGCTCGCCGGCAATCCCAATACCATGGTGGATGAGGATATACGCGATCTGACCGCAATGCTGCCCAACCTGAAACGCCTCACAAGCTGCATGAATCTCTCTGGCCTATATATGCGCGGATTCAAGAAACTGGAGCAGCTCGTGTTCAAGTCCATGTACCATTCGGTGCCGCTAGACAGCCGCTGGATGCAGGAGATCTGTCTTAGCATGACACAATTGCGCGTACTGGACATCACCGACTCCTTCGACAGCAGCGTACGCCTGTACGACATCAAGCTGCCCAACCTGGAGGTGCTCAAGATCAATCTGAGTAGCGTCGAGTGCATGCTATCCCAGGTTTTGCAGCTGCCCAAGCTGCGCAAGCTGGCCGTGCGCTTTGATGACTCCCGTCAGCTGCACGCCGATCAGGAGACCATCTTCCAGCAGATAGTTGTCGCCAAGAGCGAATCCATCACACGCATTGCTCTGAACAATGAGGTGGTGCAGCTGCCCGCACGCTGGCAGCAAAGCCTGCTCCTGGAGCTACCCAAGCTGCGGGCGCTGGTCTGCGAGAACTGGTATCATGATGTTTTCTTTCTGGATCGCCAGCACATACCCTGCGAACAGATGCAGGTTCTCAGCTTCAGTGGCTGGGAGGTAGTGCGAGAGTATCAGCTGCTCGAGCTGGTCGCCGAGTGTCCGCAGCTCAAACAGCTCGCTCTCAATGGTTATCACAGCAACGTGGACAAGCTGCAGAAGCTCCAGGCCATACGCAGCCTGGAACGCAATGCCAAGCCTTTACAGGTGTTTAGCGAGGTGATGTGGACACATCTCCAGCCCAGCGAATACCAGCACTGGCGGTGCAACAAGCACGTGCAGGTGACCTGCGATGGCAGCGACTACGAGTACCAGGAAGATGGCTTTGAGTTTGATTTTATCTAGACGTCCAGCTCCCAATTATAATTGTACATATCTATATAAGGCCTTGTATTTGTATTGTGTTTGTTGTATATATATATATATTGATAATAAAGGCGCACGCATTGGTTATACTGAACAGCAAGAAAATTTTGGTTGAGTTTTACCCATATTCCCCTCGCATTGGTAAATTTCCGCAAATGTCTGGAACTCTCTTATTTATACTCATTGCAGCGCTTTAGGGCCCACAGCTTTGGCAAATGGAAAAATCAACACATTTTATAGCCAGGCTAAAAGATTTAACTGTGCTTTGGGCCCAGCTCTCGCAGACAGCAGGCATTGGCAATGGCAGCTCCATGACCTCCACTCCACTCACTTGGCCAGTTCGTTTTGCAAGGCATAAATTATTTGATTTGATTGAGTCGGAAAATGAGTTCGCAAAGTGCCCAAAGCAAAGTTTGCGACTGCAGCGAGCCGCTGCCGCCGCTGCTGCTGCTGCTTGAGTGGCTACCACCACTTGAACACATATATGCACGCTTACACTTAGTCCAGGGTTGGGCAAGGCTAAGACTGAGTCAATATTGCCGTCATATGGGGAATGTGAAATAGACAGTGCTCAACTATTGCTGCCATGCGAAATTAGCAGTAAACAAAAATGATCTAAGCTAATGCGAACACGAATTATCGATCAAGATTGTGTTGAACCAATTTAAAATATTATTTAGAATAAGAATTAAGTTTAAATTATACAACAAATTAAAGGTTTTTAAAATTAAATCAGGCTTATAGCTTAAAACGAAACGAGTAAGGATATGTTACGCCCGCCGAAGATATGATACCCTAGGAAAGGCATTTATCTTAAAGTTTTGCAGCTATGTTCAAATGCTGAAAATATCTTGGAAAGCATAATATTATGCCCTACAAAAACTCACCTACAAACTTTCCACCGATTATTCACATAGAGCTTTTTGATATAGTAGTGCGATCTTGACAAGATTTGACATATCTAAAAGAAGCACAATGAAACTAACTAATGCCAAGTTTGGTGCAGATAACTTGATAAACAAAAGAGCTTTCCTTACAAGAATCTACTTTTCCACCGATCGTTCCTATGGCAGCAATATGATGCAGTTTTTCGCTACAGAAAGATGGATCTATACAAAGTTTTAAATTATAGCTCAAAAACTGAGACTTGTTCGCATATAAACAGACAGACGCATAGACGGATATGGGGCTTTATCAACTCGGCTATTGATGCTGATCTAGAATATGTTTTTTTTTTTCTGTTAAAATTCTTTTATTTCCTCTTTTACTCTTGGGGTACATGAACTTAAAAACCTCAATTTGATGTATTCATTCCTAATTTGTTTGTTTGTTTTTTAAATTTATTATTATTATTATGTGTAACAAGTAATGTAAACAAATAAAAAAGATGCTGTTGTGTGTGAACCGGCATCCTCCCGCGTGTTATTTCGACGCTCAAACAGCTTAGACTTGTCACCGAATTCCCCAATTGCAGTTCAAATTTGCCAATAGCAAAATCAAGATTATTTGTTCAAATTTCTGCTTGCCGACTCTTGCAGCTGTGCGTCGATCAGACAGTCAGTAAACTAGTCAAACTATTTCATACATTTACTTTTAAACGTGTATATATCCGCCTGATCCTTAACAGTAACCCGCTAAATAGATTTTCGTCCATCCCTAGTGCATGGTATGTTGCTGTTGGCTCTTGTTGCATTCAGCGAGCATGCGAGGAAATTAAGCAATTTTCAAAAATGTTCAAACTCAAAATGATTTACATAATTTCCAAAAAAAAACCATGAGAAAAAAACTCCTGTTGCTTTCGTTTTCCATTACGTGACAGCGTTCACGGCACTGGCTAAGTTATTGGCCGCACTGACAAGTCAACACAAAGTCAGCACTGGACTAATTTGTGGCCGAGAGATTAAAATGCAAACGAAGCGGCCGAAACGGCCGTCGGAATGTGCAGCAGTCGGCAACTAGGCGACTGGGCGACTGGGCGACGCGACGACAGTTTGAAGTGGACAAAATTTAGAAATAATGGACTATTAATTTATGGCCAGCAGTGAGGAGACCGTTGCAGTTGCCATTTCAGTGGCCGGCCAGGGGGTGGAAGTGAGACCTTTTGGGTTATCAATAAATGTTAGCCGTATATTTATGGCTTTTTCATTAATTGACTAATTGCAGAGAGGCCAAAGTGGCCGTCTATGAGGCTGCCCCACTTAAAGCCCCAAACTAATGCGGCCAATTAAACGAGAGTCGCCTATGCCCGGGCTGCCTAATTTCTCTATTAATTTTATTTAACACGAACAAAGGGTCGCAATTCGTCATGGGCTCCAAAATGTGTAACGAATTTTCAGGTGAAATTCGTGTTCGAGTTCGAGTCCGAGTTCCAAGTTCAATTCGTTCAGAGCCATAACTATATGGATTTGCGGATGGATGTTAACAGAAACCAAGATGAAATTAGATGAATTCATTTTAGCATAATTAAATTAAACATAGTCGGCTCAGAGCTTTGCCTTAAGTGGTGCACGGTTGGTCTCCGATAAAGTCGATCGCTCTGGTCCATAAATAGTGCGATAAGACGACGCGGCCCGTTTGATATTATTCTCTAGTTGGTTCTCTCCTACAAATTGTATCCGCCATTTCCCTAGTTGACAGCACTCACTTAAAAAGTTGAGTAATAAAATCCCATACAATTAGTGAGCGCCAATACAGTAGTTAAAACTATGAATCTTGAGAGCTAAACTGTAAGATAGCCCATAGTTGATTGATAGTAAGAGCCAAGCACAGCACCGTTAATTGACTTCCTAGCTAGATTTCAAAGTCTTTAAATTTAATCGAAACTCAAGCGATTCTCATATGACATTTAGTTTTGGTCCATTTTGGAACATTTCTTAAAATTTATTTAGTATTTGATACAAACATTTTGATTTCATTTTAAACGTAATTCTGTAACGATTGCTGCCCTCATTTTGTTTCAAATTATTGTTACAGTGTGTTTTATACAAGCTTCCAAAATGCATTCTGCTCCTGCACAATAGTTGTACAACTGCCACAAGGATTTCAATGGAGCACAGTGTAGGTGTAGGTATTCATTCATGATTACACAAATTCACTGATCTATCAACATTTTCTGTAACTTGTCTTTGAAACTCATGTCTAGCCAATCTTTGCAGGTGGTCCTCGCCAGTTGATTTGCATGGTTAAAGCACAAACACAGCAACAAAAACAAAAACATCAACGCAAGTGTCAACAAAACTTTACGAGTTAACAAAATGCCTGGATAAAAATTCCCCGCGGCACCGCAGCAAACCTCTGTCGCAGCTTGTTGCGGCTGGGTCTAAACGTTGACAAATCGTTTGGTAACTCAATACTTTTGTAATGCAAAAAGAAAAGCCCATTTTTGTCTACGCACAAGAAAAACACAACGCAACACAAAAACACAATGGCCTCGGCGGAATACAAACGCCAACAAACTACAAGATAAATGCTTACAATTTTATTGCCAAACAAGTTGACGTCTTGTCGCCGGTTGTCGAATGTCGAGTGTTGCGCTTTTTTGACTGGTTGCGTCGCATGTCGCATGTGGCATGGGGCATGCGCCATTTATTTTCCAAAAAACTGCATCCCTGTCGGCAAATTGTATTGATTAATGCCAGCGGTTTTTTATTCCAGCCGTTTGCTCTATTAATATGTCCGTTGGCGAAAAAACGGCTAAAATAAAAATCTAATTACCACAAGATTGTCACAGCTGGCACCGCTGGGGGCCAGTTTGATTGGTCGAACAGTCGAAGTCTTTCGAAAATCGCGTGACATTTCATAAGACCCCAAATGATTTAATAATGTGGCCGCCTTGTCCGTCAGTTCGAGCTACAAACGATCGGCTGCTTTATGAAGTGCTATCAATTGCCTATCAATGGCGGCGATTTTCGTTCTAGCCGCTCAATTTGTAGTGCCATCAAAATGCTAATTGAAATCGCTGTGCAGCCTTTCATCTAGCACCGCCGCTGCACCAGAAAACCAAACAAGCTGCTGATAATTCTCCAAGCTTAAGTAATTTAGTAACCGTAGCCGAAGCGACTGCAACGGCGGCAACTCTTCAAAGCTATCGCCAACTGTAAACTGTCAAATCTAATAACTGCATTTAACAATAGAAAAGTGCTTAAATTGAATTTTCTTTTTGCCGCCAACTTAACGATGCAAAGCACTCTCATCCAGCCCAGATCAGATTTGCATTTAAATTGCTTAGCTACTGCGGCAGCCGGCGAAGATCTTTAAATTTGACAAAAGATCGATCCACTTTTACCCACTATTTCACCCAATTAATTAAAAGACCGTGGCTGGGTTATTAAAAACCGATTTCCATCATCGCACACACACACACACACACACACACACACAGTTGTAGTGGCTAATGAAGATATCGGCGCAGGTGCTGACAAACAAAAGACTTAGGTGACGAACTTGGTTTACATTATAATGGAGATCAAGTGGGCGCTTCGATTTTATGATACGAGTAATTGCCGGCAAGTTTGGATGCTACTTTTTCAATTATTTCGAAGAGATAGTTCAAATACATCTAAAAACAGTTAAATTTTTAACTTTAAAATTTGTGGCCCCGGAATACTTGTTCAATCATTTGAAATAGTTTGTTTTACATATAATAAAAAAAGTAATAGAAATAAAATAGTAATAGCAACACGTCTATAAATTATTATACTTTTAAGCAATAAAACTATATAATTGACACTTTTCAAACCATCAGTAAGTCGATTTATCAATTCCAATAGATGTTGGAAAAGAATAATTGCATAAGCTCGAGCTCGAGCTTTTACCAGATAGTCATATTTACATATCTAATCCATGATCTATCTTTGAGTTATGCTAATCTTTGGAAATGGCTGTTCCACCTTTCAAGTGTGATTTAGTTAATTTGCATTTAAATAGAAACTCGTAGGCACCTAGATTTAAGTGTAAAAGAATTTTTGAAGATACTTTTT